AGGCGGAAAACGAAAAGAAGACAAAAAGGAAAAAGATGAAGAAAAAGAAGGAGAATTAGATGAAGAAAAAGAAGGAGAATTAGATGAAGAAAAAGAAGGAGAATTAGATGAAGGTTGATAAAAGAATTTAAACTATGCAGACGACAGCATTAAGAAATTAGCAAGAATTTTGAGGAGACTCCATTAGTCGAGGGGAGACTTGCTTTCACTTGGTATATGGGGAGAGCTGTTTACGACTGATACGAAAACCCGAATGTGTACAAATATTAATCAAGAATTGAAATCATCCAGACGACACAGTTAACAACATCAACCAGAATACAGAGGCGATTGCTACAAATCAACGAATAAACATCAAAAACAACAATAATAATAAGATACTACTGGCGGTCATGCTGGGGTCGTCGAGGATACTGAGAAAGATGTTGGAGGAAACTTACCATTACTCAGTTCTCATGGACGACCGCAAAATATTTGGCGGGAACATGCAAATACGAATATATATATATCTTCACTGGAAAAATAGTCCACTTTTACGGGAAGGAAATCCAAGAAACTGGTATGAATATCACCCAGACCCGTTTACAGAGATAGAAACATGTAACAATTTTAAGGGACTTTACAATATACACAGACATATCAATCAAAGCTAAGATTCCTGTTAGCCCATACCTTAAAGAATTAAAAAAAAAAAAAAAAGTGTTCTCATTACAAAAAGATTTAACTTAGCAAATTTTTTTTTTTTTTTTTACAAATATGATGACTGGAAAATATGAAGCCATTCATGAGCTTAGGTCTCTGGTTGGGACCCGGAAAAATGAAATGGATACCATCTAAACATTTGCCATGAAAATAACGAAAGAGCTGTGATAGGTCTTGTGAAATTGCTTCTGTAAGAAAGAGGCAACAAAGACACCTCCCATCGCAAAAAAGAAAAAAAAAAACAAAGAAACAAAATCAAAAGAAACAAAAAAACAACAAAAAAAACCAAAGAAACAAAATCAAAAGAAACAAAAAAACAAAAAAAAACCAAAGAAACAAAATCAAAAGAAACAAAAAAAGAAACAAAAAAAAAAGAAACAAAATCAAAAGAAAAAAAAACAACAAAAAAACAAAGAAACAAAATCAAAAGAAACAAAAAACAACAAAAAAAACCAAAGAAACAAAATCAAAAGAAACAAAAAAAAAAAAAACCAAAGAAACAAAAAATCAAAAAACAAAAAAAAAAAAAAAAAAAACAAAATCAAAAGAAACAAAAAAAAAAAAAAAAAAACCAAAGAAACAAAAAAAAGAAAAAAAAAAAAAAAACCAAAGAAAAAAAAAATCAAAAGAAACAAAAAACAAAAAAAAAAAACAAAGAAACAAAATCAAAAAAACAAAAAAAAAAAAACAAAGAAAAAAAATCAAAAGAAACAAAAAACAACAAAAAAAAAAAAGAAACAAAATCAAAAGAAACAAAAAAAAAAAAGAAAAAAAATCAAAAGAAACAAAAAAAAACAAAAAACCAAAGAAACAAAATCAAAAGAAACAAAAAAAACAAAAAACCAAAGAAACAAAATCAAAAGAAACAAAAAAACAACAAAAACCAAAGAAACAAAATCAAAAGAAACAAAAAAACAACAAAAAAAACCAAAGAAACAAAATCAAAAGAAACAAAAAAACAACAAAAAAAACCAAAGAAACAAAATCAAAAGAAACAAAAAAACAACAAAAAAAACCAAAGAAACAAAATCAAAAGAAACAAAAAAACAACAAAAAAACCAAAGAAACAAAATCAAAAGAAACAAAAAAAACAAAAAACCAAAGAAAAAAAAATCAAAAGAAACAAAAAACCAACAAAAAAAACCAAAGAAACAAAAACCAAAGAAACAAAAAAACAACAAAAAAAACCAAAGAAACAAAAACCAAAGAAACAAAAAAAAAAAAATAAAACCAAAGAAACAAAAAAAAAAAAAAAAAAAAAAAAAAAAACAAAAAAAAAAAAATAAAACCAAAGAAACAAAAAAAAAAAAAAAACCAAAGAAACAAAAAAAAAAAAAAACCAAAGAAACAAAAAAAAAAAAATAAAACCAAAGAAACAAAAAAAAAATAAAACAAAAGAAACAAAAAAAAAATAAAACAAAAGAAACAAAAAAATACACGCTATAGATTTTTTTCTTTTTAATAATTAAAGGTGGAAAGTGATGATAATTGAGAAACTCCAATCTATATATGGAAGAAAGTCTCCATTTTTGGTCTGATCTGATTCTTATAAAAGTAAAGCACGAGAGCGCAACCAGTTAGCAACATTCAGTTACGTGCTAATACCCTTGGGGAAAGGTATGAATCCGCTTCTTCTCCGCCCTTTATTTCCTCCATCGGAATAGATTGTTCTAGTTTCACGCGCCATGCCTCTTCGGAAGGCACATTTATTTCTCTTTAACTCAACTCTCCAAGCTTTTGGTTCACCACTGCTGTGGCCTGGTATTGAACTTACAACACTTTGGGCCTAGTCAATGGATCTAACCAACGTCTTTATGCACTGGGCCATGTAGATAAAGGGTTCGGTTAGAAAATTCCAATCACCTGAAGAAGGCCGGAGCATACAACGGCCGAAACGTTGTGAATATGGCAATGAAAATGAGGATAACAGTCCGAATAATGTAAATAATGCAAGTAATCATAATACCTAATCTCGAAGATATAGACAGATGAAGTTTTTGTTGAGACAAATGTCCGTGTTCACCTAGTATCCATGCTTTCTTTGCATGTGGGATAGCAAAGACATTGCTCAGCATTACTCGAAAAAGAACTGGCCTATTGAGGAGGAATTGATGCCTTGCAGATCAACAAACGTCATCAATAAGTCTTTGGTGGATTAAGACAGTATATATTTTCCCACCGCTGCACATCAAAGCTCTGGACAAGAATGGTGGATGATTGTGCCAGTTTTTCCAGGATTGATGATGGAGAAGTTGAAAGCTGGCATCTTTGATGGTCCTCAAATCAGTCAGCTTATCAGAGATCCAGAGTTTGAAACCTCAATGTATGAATTGAAACTAGAAGCAAGAAAGGCTTTTATTCTGGCCGTGAATAACTTTCTTGGCAACAACAAGGCCAGGAACTATGTAGAACTAATCAATTTGCTAACTGCTTCAAGAAACCTCGAATGCAACATGCGTATCAAAATGCATTATTTATTTTCACATATGGATCGGTTTCCTGAGAATTTGGGATCAATGAGGGACGAACGGGGCGGGGTGAGATTCCATCAGGACATGAAAGAGATAGAGACCAGGTATCAAGGACGCTCTGTCCAATTCTCACTTTCCAGCCTAAACAGTGCCTAAAATTGTTTAGGTGGCCTTGTGAGCGATTAATAACTTGCAACCTTACAGTCTTTTCCACAGACGAAAGATCGCAAGCATATCGCTATTTCCATGGCGAATGTTCGGACGAGCAACATTAGCGGTTCCCAACGGGTCAGGCATTTACGGTTAGATTCCGCCATACCGAGTACACAGTTGAATCGTTCTCATACACTCGGTATTTCATTAATAAGCAAAAAGATCTGCTCAGCTTCTTCGCAAGAACTGTTTCTCCGATCACTACAAAGTTAACCTCTTAACGTCATCCGTTGTCTATCCTACCTATCCTCATTAGCTGAACTTGCTTATGTCCATAGAAGATTCTTCTAACTTGAGTGGCTCTTTTGGCATGCATTGGGTGAACATTTCCTAAGAAAATTTACCCATTTTGTCTGTTCAATTTATTGGAAGGACGGATATTGACGTCTTTGTCACAAAATACTGAAAAAGGTTGTACAACTTCAGCTAAAATGCATCAACCAATTGCTTAACAAATAGTTTTTATTGCTCATTCCTGCAAATCAAAATGCTGGTTGATTTTGTCTAGCGGCATATCAACATCTCTATTTAATGTCGAAATCTAAATTTTGAATGCTATTGTATGCCTTAAACCCCAGATAAAATGAAATTGTTGGCCATTCTACTATTTTAAAAAATGGTATTGTTGGTTATATTACTATAAAAATGCATTTTCATGCTTTTTTAGCGTTTTGATTTTTGTTTTGGGAGGTTCACCATTTTCCCAAAGATGGTACCCTAACAGGTGCTACCACCCCAGGTCAGGTAGATCTGGGAACAACAGCAACTAAGAGGTGGTCGCACGTTCCTCAAAACGTCCAATCTTCCGATTAGAGACCTTGCTGTTGAATGTAGTTTATCGTCATACCCAGGACTGTGCAAAAAACACCCGAAAATAATATAGGGAACGCTGAGAAAGAATTTATTATTTAGTCAGAACGTAAATAAAATTCAAGACTGTCTTTCGGGTATATTAATTTCTATCTCGAAAGAAATACCTCCCACATGACGTTGAGACATTAGCGAATTGAAGACACCATTACTCCTAACCCAAGATCACTAGCACCACGCAGGTGATAGATTAAAATGTGGGAGGTACTTTTGCCGTACCCTGTATATAACGGCACGGAATGTGAGAGCTGGGTTCAAATTTCAGTAGATTTCGTTATATTCACTTACGCCCAAATACCCTTGGGAAAGGCATGAATCCATCTTTTCTCTCTCCAGCTATGGATAAATAGCAGGACAGGATCCTGTAGGCTTAGTTGGCAGCCAGTCTAGGGGATGGAAAACTAAATCCAAACAAGCCGAGAAAGGATTAGCAAAGCGCTGATGAGCTTCTTATAGTAGCCAACTGCCAACATACAGGTAGGAGACGGATTATTGATTGATTGTTTTTTACGGCTTAACCTTTTGTAGAAAAAGGTAGGAAATACTTTTAGACTGTAAGAATTTTTTTGGCGATGATGACTTACAAGTCCAACTAATTAACCCATAGTTTGGGGAGGAAGGAGATGGATTCATACGTTTCCTAAGGGTATTTGCGTGTAAGTTAACATAACAAACTCGACTGGAACTTGGTTCTTCGATTCCTAATTACGAACCGTTATCTATTGCACCACCCGAATATCCAAACTTACAGCACCCGGTATTCCCAAGTGGTCACCCATCTAGGTACTGACCGGGCTGGACGTTGCTTAACTTCGGTGATCGTATGAGAACCGGTGTTTTGACGTATATTTGACCATAAGTCGATAGGAGACGGAAAAAAAGGCATGCAATTGTTGCCTCATCTTATATGTGGCAAATACTGCACTAGTACAGGACGATAGGGAATGTGCACTGTAGGGCACAGGCAATTGACCACTTTAAACAATTCACTTGTACAGGTTGTTCAGGGAAAACTTTACTGAACCACACACACACACATAAATTAACAAACCACAGACGCACACATAAACACAAGTAAACATAATAATAACACTAACCAACAATAAAAGAATCAATAGTAAATAAAAAGTTAAACAATACTATAAACAGCCCCCACCCAAAAAAAAAACTGCATCTGGATCCACAATTATTTCCACTGAATATCCCTTAGAATAATACAGCTGACTACCCACAATGCAAAGTTGGCCTGTATATGTAATTAGTCGAGCAAAAACGTTTAAGCATAAAACAAACTGTCGCCTCTAATATCCACTTTTATATTGACATACGCTCTATCCCTGATATTGAACCCCTTGACTCATAAATATAGTATACTTTTTTTTATAGATTTTATTAATTAATATTTTTATTAGATACTCGTATCTGAGTAGACGCTTCGAATATTTAGGTCGATAGACTAGATACTCTTTGATAAATAAACTGAGCGTCTATCAAATACGAGTATTCACTAAAAATAACATTTAAGTAATAAAATCTGTCGGATTATAAATAAAAATCTTTATATATATATATATATATATATATATATATATATATATATATTAGTGCCTGTGTAAGCAACGATATGCTCAGTCACTGAAATTCATTTTTTTTTTTTTTTTTTTTCTTAAGAAAGACAAGATTTTTTTTTTTTTGGACGCGAAGGGTTTTCTTGAAGCGACATTCGAATGAATGTGGCGGCGGCGTTCGTCGTCTTGGCATCGGTCCGATTAAGATGTTTATTCACTGGGCAAGCTACCAAATACGGTTAGCCACGAATAATTCAAATTACAATAACTGGCTCGGCCCACCATCTTGCTTTCTGGACAATGCTTTCACTTCGGACATTTCCGATACAGCTGACCAATTTTTCGGCAAACAAAAACTTCTTGGTAGTGGCTTCGGGATAAGCCACCAAACTGGAGATCATAAGAAAAGAGGTTTAATACCATAGTGAAAGGTGTACAAAGACAATTTGACGTTTTTCTTTTTTTTTTTTAAATTTATTATTTAGTTGACATGAGTTTTTTTTTGGAATCACAAAGTTCGGCTACTCCTGCAGATTTCGTCAGTTTTGGATATTGAATAGTGTTTTTTGAAGTGGGGTAAATTTAAAACCCAGCAGATATTAATGACATGTGTATGAGAATCAACAATCCTTTGGGCGAAGCACGTGATAAAGACTTTATTGCATCCTCCTAATTTTTGCCCTCATATGGGTCTGTCTCTCACTCCGGTCAGATGCCGCCAAGTATAAGGTGGAGAGAGGTGCTTTGGTTGAAAACTGTCTTCCACTTTGAATTATCAGTGTAAATTGTATATGCGAGAAAATAAGATGAAAAGTATTAATAATAATTACCTTAATAATAAAAATAAGAACATGGAATAAAGCTAGATATTGCCTGTGACTGAGAGATAAGAATAATGATAATAGTATTATTATACGCTATAAGTAGACTTGGATGAGTCACACGACGGAAATTTTGGAGAGCAGGCGCAATATAGAGTCTAGTTTGTTACATTTTCGTCACCGAGATCCGTTGGTCTAGTGTATATGACTCTTGCGTCATATCGTAACGGGTTCGATTCTCGGTGGTGATTGCGCACTGCTGGTGAGTACCAAAATAGGATGAAATGGCCGTTCAGTGCTTTCTGCATTATGTTGAGGATTCTTCTAGACACGATGAATTACTTATGATATATCAACCTTAAGGGTTCATTGATTATATTTTATTTCCCCAGGAAAGGGATATAATATATAATCAATGGACCTTTAAGGTTGTCTGCTTTTTAATTTAAACTAATATTCGCTCTGTTTTTGCACTGAGCTCTCCAGATCATTTCCTCCTTGGGAAGATAATCCATACAGATTATCAAACATTTCATCACTCTAACTAATAATTATATATATATATATATATATATATATATATATATATATATATATATATATATATCTGAGAAAGTGGTACTCTATAAACGACGCGTTTTCACTGAGAGCGTCTGTTTTAGGTTAGAATAAAAAAAAGCAAAACTATATGTAATGATTTTTTATCTCATTATCTTCACTTTTGTTTTGGATAACATCTACACTTTTATATACACATATATGCAATAACAATATATATAAATTGTTATATATCAAGAACAGTTGAACAGTAAACAAACCTCGTCCGATGAAGCCGTAAGGGACGAAACGCGTCACTGGAGAAATTATTCCATTTTGTCATACATCTTTCTTCTCTCTCTCTCTCATATATAAGAAAAATATACGGAAAAAACAAACAAAAATCCTAATATGCAATTATGCTGTTTTAATGTTAATATAATGTCAACGTCGGACGTTTCGGTCTAATAGACCATCTTCATACTGTCGGATCTATATATATATATATATATATATAAGATTAGGCCCAAAACACATAATACGCAAAAGCGAACAATTTCAAATTAATTTACGTCATGCAACAATGTCTTTAAATAAAAGTCAATTTCAAATTATTATTTAGAACCGCACTAAAAAAAGAAACAAATTTTTTATAAGGAAAATTAAGTAATGTCTGTTATGAAAAAATATTTTTGAAAATAAATTCAGTTTTTACTATCAAGCGCCTGACGAGAAGGTGTAATTTCCTTGAAACTCAACTAATTACTGGGTAAAGACTATTAAATAAACATTTCATAGATCACTACATTAGTTTTATTATATCTTTGTTTAATTGGTGGTTACTGTATCGATGATTCTTGTAGAGTAATTCAGTAGTCCTTAAGTTATTTTTTTTTTTAGTTTACTTTGTTTATCTACTAAGCGGTGGTATAATGGCTTGAGATTGAGAAATCGGAGAGTCGAGTTCAATTCCAGTCTGATGTTAATTACAATCACTTAGGCGAAAATACCCTTGGGAAAGTTATGCCTCCATCTCCACTCCACCAGCTATAGGATGAATATCAGGACAGACTGGGTCCTATAGCCTTGGTTGTCAACCAGTCTATGGCAGAAAGAAATGACAACCTACTAGAAAATCTTCTGCCTTGTCAGTCATGAATCGAAAGAGACATGATCATCCGAGCGTCTTTCACGTATGGCACTTGACTGACTTTATCTCTTCCCTACAGCTATGGGTTGAATAACAGGACAGACTGGGTCCTATAGCCTTGGTTGGCAGCCAGCCTACCACAGAAAGTAAAGGCAGCCTACTGCAGGAAAATGATTCTGTCTTGTCAGTCATGAATCGAAAGAGACATGATCACACGAGTGTCTTTCACGTATGGCACTTGTGACTGATGTGTTTAGGGAAATTGTTAATTATTCTGTGTTGATTAAGTAGTATTGTGCATGTATAGGATATTAAAATATTCTGTTAAATTATTTGACGGATATTTTGTATCTATGCAGGCATTCAGGCATGGGATAAGTTGGTTGATTTTGTTTTATTTATTTTAAAAAAAAATAAACTGAGATTTTAAAGTTTTCATTATTTAAATTAATACATAGTTACATATCAATTAATGAAATTAAATTTATTTATTGCAAAAAAACTAAAAACCTCCAACATGATAATCACTAACACCACACAAATCAAAACACGAACAAACTAATAACGTCTATGAATTCAAATATCCGATTGGGGAATGGATTTTTAAGCGTAGCTTAGATGTAGCAGAAGGCCGAATGTATGTGTCACCCAGTGAGGATCGAACTCACTACTTAGTCGTAAATCAAGACAAGCTTGATAACCATTACAGAACGGCGAGGTGCCCACATGATTGAATTATTAGAGAATCATTCTCCAAACACGTACATAGGTTCCCCTAGTACACTGTTAATTCGTTTAATATGCCACATACAATACATCCATTAAGGCAGATATCAACTAACAAAAAGGAAAACCACAATTCGAAAACAGACAAAGCCTTGACAACGATACAAAAGTGCTATTCTATATAAACCGACCACAAGTGCTCGTGGCATTCTGCAGGAAAAGCAAGTAAAGATCAAAATTACATGAAACCTCAAATTGGGTAGGTCGAAAGTATTTATAATCAACAAGGAACTTGCGTTTATTTTAAATCAAACGTGTGTGTGTATTACACACACACACACACACTGTATATGGTGAAATGTTGTGAGAGCCAGGGCGCAAATTTACTGTAGATGACCTTGGGATTAAGGCACCCTATAGTCATTTACGTCGTAGTGAATTATTTTCTCCTTTGATCATGGTAGCATTGTGGTCAGTCTTGTTACGGTAGGCAACCAATGCATTTGACGTATTATTTTGTAAAATGTTCATTTTGTGTTCATATAATCTTATTTTGATTCCTTGAGGACGAAAGGTGTCACAAGTAAACCTTTTCCATTTTGTCATAAAATTTTCCCCATTATATAATAATTACGTAAAATTTACTGAAGATACGTCGGAAATTAACGCACTTTCAATATAATTAGTTTCTCTTTAATCAGAACCACGTTCTTTAATCGTTTCACCCTAAACAACGCAATAAAACCACTAAGACGCAAGGGGGTTACTGAGTATGAAAGAAAAGGAAAAAATATTAAGTAAAATGAAAGAACAGGAATTTTGACAGAAGATAGCGATTAACATGACATTAAAAATTTTGACTACCAAAGCTGACTGGAAAGCAAGAGGCTGGAAGATAGTTTTACAAGCGAGTAATACGAATGAAGAAACTGTTAGCATAGAACTTACGATTACATCTAGTCATTTCAACTGTAAAATGGTGAGACCTAGCCGCTCTCTGTTTAAGCTTGAATCTTATTTTCACTAGAGAAAGTTTCCTCTCATTAAAAAGTTGCGAAGCAATTAAAAAAGGTTAATCAATATCTGGTGAATATAGTGGGCGAGGAGTGCGGCCTTGCGTCGTCATGGAGAACAAATGTTTTCTTTTAATCCACCGTGTACACTGCCACATAGGATTAGAGTTTAGTATGATACACGAGTTATTACAATTGGTTCGCAAAAACGGAAATCATTTATTCATATTTTTGCATAAATATTTCTCAGTCATTAATTACTTTACTCATATGTCATGTTTAGTCAGTAGGTGTTGAAAAATTTATTGGCAAAAAAACAAAACAAAAAAAAATTAATCAAGTCAAGCGTCAGTCGTTATCTATCCCCCTTATCCTCATAGCCATCAGTTAGACAAGACATTTTGAGAGAAAGAGAGAGAGAGAAAGAGAAAGAGAAAGAGAGAGAGAAAGAGAGAGAGAGAGAAAGAGAGAAAGAGAGAAAGAGAGAGAGAGAGAAAGAGAAAGAGAGAGAAAGAGAGAGAGAAAAGAGAGAGAGAGAAAAAAGAGAGAGAGAAAAAGAAGAGAGAGAGGAAAAAAATACAAAAGAAAAAGGAGGAAAAAAAATAAAAGAGAAAGAGGAAAAAAATACAAAGAGAAAAGGAGGAAAAATAAAAGAGGAAAAGGAGGAAAAAAACAAAGAAAAAAAAGGAGGAAAAAAATACAAAGAGAAAAGGAGGAAAAAATAAAAGAGAAAAGGAGGAAAAAATACAAAGAGAAAAAGGAGGAAAAAAATACAAAGAGAAAAAGGAGGAAAAAAATACAAAGAGAAAAAGGAGGAAAAAAATACAAAGAGAAAAAGGAGGAAAAAAATACAAAGAGAAAAAGGAGGAAAAAAATACAAAGAGAAAAAGGAGGAAAAAAATACAGAGAGAAAAAGGAGGAAAAAAAAAAGAAAAAGGAGAGAAAAAAAAAAAACAAAGAGAAAAAAGGAAAAAAATACAAAGAGAAAAAAGGAGGAAAAAAAATACAAAGAGAAAAAGGAGGAAAAAAATACAAAGAAAAAAAGGAGAAAAAATACAAAGAGAAAAATAAAATACAAGAGAAAAAGGAGGAAAAAATACAAAGAGAAAAAAGGAGGAAAAAATACAAAGAGAAAAAGGAGGAAAAAAAAAAAGAGACAAAGAAAAAAAAGGAGGAAAAAAAAATACAAAGAGAAAAAAGGAGGAAAAAATACAAAGAGAAAAGGAAAAAAAAACAAAAGAGAAAAAGGAGGAAAAAATACAAAGAGAAAAAGGAAAAAAAAACCAAAGAGAAAAAAGGAGGAAAAATACAAAAGAGAAAAAGGAGGAAAAAAATACAAAGAGAAAAAGGAGGAAAAAATACAAAGAGAAAAGGAGGAAAAAAAAAGAGAAAAAGGAGGAAAAAATACAAAGAGAAAAAGGAGGAAAAAATACAAAGAAAAAAGGAGGAAAAAATACAAGGAGGAAAAATAGAGAAAAAGGAGGAAAAAAATAAAAAGAAAAAGGAGGAAAAAATACAAAGAGAAAAAGGAGGAAAAAATACAAAAAGAGAAAAAGGAGGAAAAAATACAGAGAAAAAAAAATAAGGAAAAAAGGAAAAAAAACAAAGAGAAAAAAAGGAGGAAAAAAATACAAAGAGAAAAAGGAGGAAAAATACAAAGAGAAAAGGAGGAAAAAAATACAAAGAGAAAAAAAGGAAAAAAATACAAAGAGAAAAAAGGAAAAAAACAGAGAAAAATAGGAAAAAAAATACAAAGGAAAAGGAAAAAAAAATACAAAGAGAAAAGGAGGAAAAAAAAAAACAAAGAGAAAAAAGGAGGAAAAAAATAAAAAGAGAAAAAAAAAAAAAAAAACAAAGAGAAAAGGAGGAAAAAAAAAAAGAGAAAAAGGAAAAAAAATAAAAGAAAAAAGAGAAAAAAAAAAGAAAAAAAAAAAAGAGAAAAAAGGAAAAAAAAAAAGGAAAAAAGGAAAAAAAAACAAAGAG